ATGTTTTTTATTGGGTCAGCGTGTGACCACAGCAGTTGTGTTTCTGCCGGTAGGTAGACGTTAGGACGGTCATGTGAAAGCAACAGCTTTTTCATTATATTTACAGTAAAACAGCGACAAAATAAACAACAACCACGTGCCAAGGATATCGTTTTGAGGATCCCGAGCGATTGGCAGTGGTCAAGCCTCCAGTTTTTTTTTTGTCTGCCGCAGACTTTCCTTCAAAAGTGACTGACCCAGGAACAATGGCCCCTAATTGGAGGAGTTTGACGCACGATAGTGAAGGAAAATGGTCTACGTGAGTGCCCTCCAATCGAGCGTGACGAAAAATACGAAACAAGAGAGTCACTACACACTTCGTTTCTTGCGACAGACACCGCCCAACGACCAGGTCGTAATGCGGCAAAACGAAGAGCGGGACGTATGGCCCCTCAATGTACGTAGCTGTTTCAAGGGCACAAAGTCACTCTTTGTATCGGTGTCAGCTGCTCATCTCGCCCGCCTTTCAAACGCACGCACGGTCCCAGCAACACGCATAGGTACACTACCGCCGACGGGCGGGCCGGCGGGAGCTTCACGTCCTGGCTGTTCAAGACCCTGATGCACAGCAATGACCACCGAGTCGGGGTGCCCGGCTTCAAACCTGATGGCAATAAAAATGGTTGTAGTGAAAGCAACCTTCAAGGCAGACAAGGTAGCTACAGTATTTGAACATGGTTCTGGGCCAGCACATACGCGGAACTAGCGACTGTGCTCTCCGGTTACGATTTCGGTGGCCTTTGTCAGTTATACCGATGTGTTGCGGTGGGAGTACTTACTTCTTTCAACGGAGGGGGGTGGTTCTTTTCCCTCTCACACACAACACACACAACGTGGATTTGTAAGAAGGCAGCTTTGGAAGGAACTGGGCTCGGTTGTATAATCTTTGACACTTTACGTACCAAACTGCCTAAATAGTAAATATTCGAGCAGCGGCCTTCGTCAAAAAAACTGCCGTCTTCACAGCTCAATGTCTGATACCCATATATTCGCAGAAGCAGCGAGAGGGACACAAATAAATGCTTGTGGCGGCCCGGGCTAATGAGGTGGGGAGACACATGGAGAGCTGGTTGAGTGGGTGACGCGATCTCAACTGCACTTGACCTACCTGCGTTGCACACAATACAAGTACTGGACACAACACCAAGTGTTTCAACAATGAGAGAAACATAAACGATCAGGAATGACTGAGACACTATGCCAACAAAGTACGGTTCCGTCGTTGCACAGAAAGTGGTCAACAGTCCCGCTCGCACATCGAAAATATGCAACTTAAGAATGAAAACATTCGAGCTTAAAGCTCTTGGTCACCGGAAGATTCTCTGCTAGCCTCCTTTCGAGAAGTACCGCCTGACTTCAAAGGGGATTGCGCACAGCGGAATGACGTATTCGCGCTACCGCTATCTTGGGTCGTTTCCATCCGTGTTCCCGGCGTTATGGCGTGATTTGCTGGCTGACGAGGGATCCCACTACTCCCGTCGTTTTTCTCGGCGGCCAGCGGGTCGAAGTCAACGAAACTGCCTCCACGAAGAGTTCGGCGGGTAGGATCGCCGCCCGCAACCCACTCCCAAGCATTTCCCAACATATCGTAAACCTGGTTGAGCAGTATCAGAACGTTGTGGCCAATGCAAGATTCTTCGTCAACCTCGTACGACACTGCATCGCCAGCCGCCGGGGTTCACTGTTCCAAGAAAACGGCAACATCATTGGCATCTTGTGCTGCGCATTGTGTTTGAACGCAAACGAACCACACCATCGCCAATGCAAGATATGTGGTTCCCATGTCGAACGCTTAGTTGAGCTAGCAGCCTCGAGCCTACCATCTTAGAGCACACTTCCAGTACGCCACAGGTGGGCACACGCACAAACACGTACCCAAAACAGCAGACACACGCACACACAAGTACCCAAAACTCATGGCAGAATGGCGACAACAGTCTCACCTCGAGGGCGTTGGGTGCAAAAGCAGTTGCCGGAGCGAGCCCTGCGTACCCGTCTTCAACAGAGTTCGTGTTTGGGAAATGGCCCTGCCAGGAGTTGCCCACGAGCCACCTTTTCGTGGACTTGTCTCCCACGTGCTCGGACGCAAGTGTCTGACCGCCCCGAGCTGCGTACTCCCATTCAGCTTCGGTAGGCAGTCTGTGACGAAGCAATGTATGGCGGCACAGCAGTGCCGTTCTCCGACTAAGCGAGTGGATGGATGGATCACAAGCAGCGAGACTACGAGATTCAAGTTGGACAAAACAAGCCGCAGGTTTTGGGCTCGATGTGTGAAACGACGGTGTCGATCTACAGTACATTGATCATGACTTCAAATCAGCCGCAAAATACAACAGCTTTACACATGTGAGCGATGGGTAGCCCTCGGCCACATGAATACTTGAAGCAGATCAGTTCCATGGACGGCCGCGAGACAAGCAAAGCGCCATGCCAGGGTTACGGCCTACCGATGAAATGCCGCTGCACCAATGACCGTGCCGTGCGGATGATGCATAACTACAGTAGCATGGCTGCTTACCGCCGGCCAGCCCAGCTGCAATAAGCGTCAGCGTCCACCCACGAAACCTGCACCACAGGCACGTTCCCCCTGTTCTTGAGCGAAGACCTTGGTCCCTCTGGCTGTCGCCAGTTCGCACCTTCCACCCCGACCCAGTGCTCTGAGCCTTTCACCCGCCCGATACCTGCATCCGCCTCTTTGATCGTCTCTGCATCAAGCATATACCTGGGGGGACGTGGATAGAGTAGTACGCGCGGGGCGATTATCATAAAATCAGCCGTACCATCGTGCAAGCATTGTCGGGGTAAACTATGCATACGTTTCTCAATCTGTGACTCCAAAAGAACGGTGTTGCGGGCGGCGATACACGTATCATACCTCCTGTGCCACCTAATACTATCGATAGGGCGATAAATAGAACTACGCTGTCACCCCCAGAGTTATACAGTCAACCCCGAATTATTATCGGCATATAGACGGAACGTGTTGGACAAGATCATCGCAAAGACAGGAGGAAGGCCAGCAAACTTAAGTTGCTACCACCGTGAAGACACTCACTCGAGCGCGAAACTCCACCCGAACTTCTCGGCCTCAGTCACATAGCCCGAGTCTTTCACAAAGATAGCGAACTGCTCGTTTGTCACGCAGTGTTCATCGATGTTGAACTGCCTGGGACAGTGAAATGAAACAAAAAGATTGGGCGTACAGGAGAAACCAAGGTTGGACGCACGAGAGTCAGAGTGAAAGTAAAAACCTGCGTGCGTGCCCATACAACCAGCCATTGCCGTATGTATCATATATCGACTAGGCGGGTAAACGAGATCTGGGGCGAGATAGGGTTGTGCGAACGCGTGCTATCCCGGCGTTGCAGGAATATTCGTCCTGTTACCCTCTACACACGCATAAAAACACCCACCCCCTACCACAGCGTTCAGAAGAACCAAGCGGTGAAGCCTCACTCACCCCACCGCGACTTTTGTGTGCGGCAGACCCCCGTCTGGGGGAGCTCCAGCTCCCTCACCCCCACCTGTGTACTCAGTCCCCATCACGAATGCCCCACGAAGTACGCGGACCTGCGAAGAAACGTGGTTGCATGTGTCAATGTCAACACCAAACACGACAAAGGGCAAACTTTAAATCCTGCGTTGGAGAGTAGGTATCTGCAACACACAGCAGTGTATCACGTACTTCTAACTTAACAAACCCATCCGTGTACAAACCACATGTTCTTGCCCTCTTTGACGACGCGTCCCACTGAAAAACCTACTACTATGGGGAACAATCTTTCCAGCGATCCAAAATGAGGGTTTTGAACGAGACAGACAGGAAATACCGCCTGTTCTTACCCATGTGCACTTGTTTTTTCGCCCTTCAACCCCACAACCCCACATTCAAACCGATCGACTTGTCTTCAATCGCACGAACCCATCATGAAGGAGAACAGGCTATCACATTCCCTGTCGATCTGGCCTATTTAGTGCATTCAGCACTAGTGAAAGAGCGAACGGTCGCAAGTTGGCCAGCGATTTTTGTCGACGAGTTCTTCGTGTTTTCACACCGACCCAACACCTGTCCTTCACCACGCCTTTCTGAGAAGCAGATGAGATCAACGATCATGCAGCAGCCACCCGCGGAGGTAACATCTCGAACTTACACGGTCCAAAAAACACGGCGAGCTGCAAGTTTTTTCAACGGCCGTGTTCGAACAAACTCTCTTGAGTTGCATCCTAGCCCTGGCACCGCCGTGAGCGGCAGCGATGCCGAGAGCGAGGATTTCATAGACAGCCGAAACGAAGAATCAGCAACCCAAAGGTCTTGGCGCTGTTGCTTCTCTTCAAATGCATCTTTGTTCTGGGATATGAGCCAAAGAGCTGTTTGTTCGTGGTGGCGGCAGGCAAGACAAGAACGGACACAAACTGCAACATTAGTCTATAAACAAAATCAAATTTCATCGATGCCAGCAGGAAAATCGAGACCGCGGCTATCCTCAAATGATGTCTTTTGCGGAGAAACTCACATCATGATTCCAGCTCCAAAAACGTCAATCACCTGCTTGGTCAGGAGTTTAAACGAAGAATTTCCGGGACTGCCATCTACCTCCCCAGGAGAGTAGGCGCCGGCGATAGCTAGCATCACGACCACCGTCGCGACACCGCAACACCGGCGTTGCTGCATCGCAATCCCAACCTTGATTATTAAATGTCGACCCTGATGCAGCGAAGTCGATTATCGATATATCCCGGGAGCTACGACAAATAAAGTGTCTTCTCCACACACCGTACTGCTGCTCTGGCTGCTGCCTGTTGCGCACACCGCCTAAGAAAGCCGTGACTTGTGGTTGGGGGCACCATTCAGCACCTGTCAGCATGCTGCCGGGGCTACGCAGAAGAGAAAACAAACGTGCACCTCCTATTTCCGGAATCTCTCGGGTGTGTGTGTGCTGGCTGACATGAGCTGACACTCCATGCTTGGTTAGTTTCACACATTGCCTGCGTGGAGCCAGCTTGCAAAGATGGCATCCGGACTCGGAAACTACATGATGAAGAGTGTCGGTCCATCGCGAACTGGTACTACGTCCCCGGCGAAGCAGTTGTACAGAGCAATCGCAAAGGAGGTGCCTCGAATTCTCACCATTTACGACGTCGACATGGACTTTGCTCAGGTACGTTGCAGTCAGTGTAAAGGGAAACTGCTGAGAGGAAGAAGAGGAAAAGAAGAAACAAGCCGGCCATGAGAGTATGGGGTCCATCCCGCACCCACGCAGTCTTCGCTGTCTTACATGCCGGGTCTGTAAATGGGTCGGCCTTTGCTGTGAAGCGAAGACTATCGAGGCCTCTTCACCCGCGGAACCCCCCCAGCACCGTTGTGCCATCACGCATCACACCTCCCTTCATACTGCCGTGCGCGAGTAGTGTCGCAAACGAACTAATTACAGCATTCATGGAGAAGATCACCATGAGATGATGGAGGTCGCCATGATGTTCGTGTGTGTCATATTTTTCATGTAGATGAAAGAGTCCCATTTGTCTCATGGATCGTGTTGCTGACACTCACTCTATTTGCAGCAGCAGGTCAGAGTACATGGGTACTGCTGTAGCGTAGACACGTGCCCTGTGGGCAACAGTTGTTCAGGCGAGCGATTCGTTACCATGCAGTACCGATACGTATTACTGAAATAAACTATCATATGCATACGACACATTTTTGAATGAATCCCGAACTCACACTGTCGATGTAAGGTGGTAGATAGTTTCTGTACAACGCTGCACTCCATCAGGAAATGGTTATTTTGGCAAAGCGTGAAACTGGTTTGTGTGCCCTCGTATGCACACAGCAGTCAGTAGTCTTCCAAGCCATCTATCTGGCTGTATAATCTTGAGTAGTTATAGCTCTTGAACGCTTGCAGCCTGTGGAGATACCTAATCAGCAAGAACTGGCGTTTTCCACTATTCAACGAAAATCTATGCTGCTGTCGCCTTTCTTGCTTTTACGAACCTCGCGCAGCTAAGGTACGGCCAAGTCTCGACTAGCTACACGGTCAACGTACCACACAACTTGTTGTGTATACTGCTATACTGCTGTACCGACCATGCACCTACATACAGTCGAACCTCGCACGATAACACACACGTGGTTTTTCGCTAAAAAAAATGTCCTTAAGCCGGGGAGATGTCTTTCAAATTCAGGAGACCACAATTCACCATCCTCGTGGTCAACAGAGGCGGATAATGCGCCAACAGACGCGCATTGTGCCCTAGTGTTCGTTGCACGAAAGAGGAGGCCAAAACGTCGAAGGGAGATTATTTTTGATGTCATTATTTGACAGAACAAGAACTACAGCCAAGATGTTATGTGAACGCTTGAACCTTAACGCTCACTGGCAGAACTCTGGTCGACCGCACACAGCGACCATTCCTGTGCGCCAATCTCATGTGTTGCCACGCATTCAACACATGCATAGGCCACCCAATACACGGCCTTGGTTCAAAAAATCCACACACTACGACCATCACATGTCGCGCAGAGTTGCCTGCAGCTACCCCCCATCCTTAGCTCGCCGCTTTGACTTGAGTTTCGGGAGTGAACGAATGTACAACTTTCGGAAAGTTGGCACTGGGTTACTCCCCACCATTCCGTTCGCGTACAAGTAGGAGCGAACCTTCTCTAGGCTGCTGCGAACGTCGGCCTCTGTCATCGAAGATGTGATGCACGACTCTGGCCTGCCCCCATGAGCTTCATTCATCGACCACACGGGCATGTGTGCACCGAAGAGACGGGCCTTGATACCGTGCATGTAGTTTCCTCGCATCGTTTCGTGCCAGGTGCAGACGATGCACGACTGGATGGAAGGAATCTTTCCATGCCCGCAGACAGCACGTGCAGCAGCAGACCTCTCTGCGGCAAGTCTGCGCTCTACAGGGGCGCTGCGAAGTGCTGTTTGAAGGGGGGTCCGCGTACTGTATTTGACACCCGCCCTATATTATTCACGGTAGGGAAAATAATCCAAGGTAGAGAGAGCGGGAAAGCCGACGTACTGCTTCTTCCTGGACGTAAAAAAGGCATACAATACCGTATGGAGAAATGGGCTGTGGAAACAACTGTCCAAGTACGGGATCGAGGGGGAAATGTGGAGAGTGCTGAAGAAGATGAAAAGCGCGGTCATGCTAGACGGAGCACTTTCTAAATTCTTCGACATTGCGCAGGGGGTCCCACAAGGTTGCACGCCGCCCCCAACATTGTTCCAGGTGTTCATCAACGATCTGTTGGAAGTCGTAGAGGCAGTCCAGAGGGGAGTAAAAGTAGGGGACACGGAAACGTCGGTGTCAGGAATGCTGTTTGCGGATGATTTTGTCATTATGTCGGACACCCCTGAGGGACTGCAACTGCAAATTGACGCGGCGAAGAAGTTTACTGATAAGTGGAGATTGCCTGCCAACGTGAAGAAGAGTGCCGTCATGGTATGCAACGAGAACAAGGAGGAAAGGAACCAGTAGAACATAGATGGAAGTGGGGGATCGAGGAGATTACAGGAGTGGACCAGTACACAAACCTCGGAGTAGAGATCGCAAAAAACTGCGTGGAATGCACACATGTCCAAGGTAGCGGAACAGGGCCAAGCACGAGCAGGGAAGCTGCACCCAATACTCGCAAACCGGCACCTCGATACACGCATCAAATTGACGGTTTTGAAGAGCGTAATCGTACCGCCGCTAGAGTACGCCGGAGAAGTATGGGAAGGAAATAAGAAGGTAGTGAAAGAACTCGAGGCGGCGCAGATGAAAGCAGCGAAAACCATCCTAGGATGCTCCAGGCGCACAAGTAATGCAGCCGTGAGGGCAGAATTGGGGATCCAATCCCTACGGTCGGGAAGAGACGCGAGGAAGCTGACCTGGCAGTATCGCATGTGCGGGATGGGAGAGGAGAGGTTGCCGAGAACTGTATGAGAGGCGAAGTGGGCAAACAAAAAAAGGAGTAGGCAACCCACGGAATGGGTCAAGGTTGTAGAGGACGTATGGAAGGGNATGTTGAAGGAAGAAATAGGGTTCAAGGATTACGTACATGGACCAATGGATTCAGGAACAAAGCTTAAGGTCAACTTCAGGACCGGGGACATAGGCCTTCGAGAACGTCGACGAAGACATAGGACGGTAGACGAGGAAGACGACGAGTTCGAGTGTGATCGAATGCGAAGACCGTGTTCATGTAGTCGCGGAACGTCCGTTGTACAAGGAGAGGGAAGTGTACGTGACTGAGCTGGTAAAAATAGATGGGACGTACAGGGATATGTTTGGGGCATGGAATAGAGAGGAATGGATGGCAGCTGTACTGGGGCATAGGAGGTGGGTTGCAAAGGCGGGAAGAGATATCGTTAGGATAGACAGACTAGGGAAGACATTTTTGAGCCACCTTTGGCAAAGTAG